CCTTGAGACGATCCCAACACTTGGATAACACCTATTACACACCTGCCTATGTGCAAAAAATATGATAAGTGCTATCGATGAGTGAACCTACCTCTTACCTACTCTCCTATGCTAACTATCGAAGTGTAATACCAATCTGTTAATACCACAAGCCTTTTTAACCACACATGGAGCAAATGTATAGAACACAAAGGTAAATTTAAATTACACCGCGCATAGTCACAGAAAAAAAAGAAAACACCACCACCGTACACTGATGAACACCGAAGGAAGAACAAATGTTACGTTAATGGGTTGTTCTAGAAAAGGAGGGATAAGACTTTAAAGGGGGTGTCCTGTCACGGTCGCCAATTGTTACGCCCCGTGTGCGTTTTACCGTGTGCCTAGTGAAGAGCACAGAGCCGTAACAAACAAAAACAAAAACTTGAGGGGGAAAACAAAGGGGAAGTAACTGACACTTACTTTAATAACACATATCAAAATAACCCGTCACCAAAACACATGAAATGAACATAAACACATACACAAATAAATACAACAAACCTAACTAAATAAGTCCCGAGACACACTAAGACATGGGGGGAGTATAACACTTATACTTGCGGTAGTGCCGGAGATGATGGTAATCCCTTTGTAGTAAAGTATCCAAGAGAGTGATGGTTCACTGAGAGAGCAAAAGCGATCTGCCTTCTATGTCTGCTGCACCTCCTTATATATCCTCTGATTCGCCGGCTTCCTGGCCAGTGAAACAGTTCCGGGATTCGGAAAGCTGACCGAACGAAGCCGAGCTGGTTGTTGGAGAATGGAGGGTGAGCTGGTTGGTGGTTGATGAGTGTTGTCAGATAGTGGATGGTGCTTGATGAGGTGGTGGTTGGGGTGTTGGGTTGTTACGGCGTGCAGGTGGTGGTGTGACCGTAACAATTCCCCCCCCGTAAGACCTCCGCAGTGGGATCANAGAGCAAAAGCGATCTGCCTTCTATGTCTGCTGCACCTCCTTATATATCCTCTGATTCGCCGGCTTCCTGGCCAGTGAAACAGTTCCGGGATTCGGAAAGCTGACCGAACGAAGCCGAGCTGGTTGTTGGAGAATGGAGGGTGAGCTGGTTGGTGGTTGATGAGTGTTGTCAGATAGTGGATGGTGCTTGATGAGGTGGTGGTTGGGGTGTTGGGTTGTTACGGCGTGCAGGTGGTGGTGTGACCGTAACAATTCCCCCCCCGTAAGACCTCCGCAGTGGGATCACGAAGGAGGTTACATAGGAGCTCTGGTGTTAGTCGTATCGAGCCATTTCTTTAATTGTCTTAACTTTTCACTTGCAAATTCAACATATGTGTGGAAATCTGGCTTTAGGTATTTCCTAAACTGTTGTCTGTAGCCATCAGGAGTTATAGAGTAAGCATCTAGAATACTACGTTTTATGTCTTCGTAATTAGCCTGATCAAGACTATTGTATACCCTGTAAGCCTTACCTACGAGTTTTGGGATAAGGAGAGATACCCACTGATCATCAGGCCATTCATTACGTCTAGCTACGCTCTCAAATGCTTTAAATGACCCGTCAACATCTGACTCATCAAAAGTGGGAACTAGAGGCGCGGCAGTAGCAGGGTTAAATGCTGACAGCTTTTTCTTTAAATCTATCTCTTCCTGTCTGAACTTTGACTCATTCTGTGCAGTTAATCCCCGAATCTCTAACTCCTTGTCTTCCCTTTGAGATCTCTGCATTTGTAATTGAAATTCCCTTTCTTCCCTTTCTTTCTGTGCATTTAGTTCTCTTTCTGCCTGTCTTTCCTGTAACTGCATTTCTTGCATTTTGAACTGATATTCTAGCTTTAATTTTTCCATTTCTAACTGGCTATCTATACTCCTGTCGTACTCTATAGGAGAAATGGGAGCTTTGGTTATCCTTGAAGCTGACATGGGGGTAAGCTCCTCTATAGCTTCTTGCTCCAAGATGTTATTACCCACCAAGTATTCGATCACCACATTTTTGAGTATCTCCTTAGTCATTTGTGAGGTAATTGGCACTTCAAAGTGCCTAGCAATGGCTTTCCAATCATCTTTCTTGATATTTTGAGTTTTAAGTTGGTCTAGTGAAGGAGAGGCACAAAAATCATTTACATTGAATTGAGCCATGCTAACAAAATAAAATAAAACTTGAACAAAGAAAAATGAAAAGCTTGAAGCTTAACAAGGTAAGTGACTTACTTAAGTGAGGATTTAGCAGAGTGATAGTTACAGCAACCCTTGGAAAATTAACTGAACTATACTTAAGTAAACACTTACGAGTACTTTCACTGAGGGATGTAAAATAGAGATTACGGCATTAAGAACAGATCCGGATGCTCTAAATTACGAGACTTGAGGAGTGAATAGTACTGGAACTTGAACGTGAGACTTGAGAGGCGGA